AATCATGCGAAGATAGCATGTATGTTTGTCTTTTACTACGCAGATCACGAGAGTCGTGGCAAGACGTCGATACAGGTAAAATCTACTGTAGTTTAGTCTAACAGAGTCTCATACGTCACAAAGCGCGCATATTCTATGAGCTCCTAGCCCCGCAGCTATCAAAAGTGTCACATGCTCTCCGTCTCAATTTTACAAATAGCTGGATGCATTCATTCATGGGAAGGCATGGATTCTCATTAGGAGGAGGCAAAGGCATCAAAAGACGAACGCAACATGAAGAAGCGGACGGTAAACCAAAATTGACACCGGAAACGTCGGTGATCTCCACGCCAGACCATATCAAGGCGGCAGTAGCGGGTGTGCCGCCGGAAAATGTCTACTGGCTGCATGAGACGCGGCTGTTTTACGCGATGAGTCCGGACAGGCAAGCGTTACCATCTATTCATCATCCGGAAAAAAAGTTGACAATGCTATTGGCACTTAACGCGGAGGCTTAACCCGTTTTTTGTGGGACCTCACTCGTTGTCGATGGATGCGAACCAAAAGGCGGAAGAACGGCCGTATCAATTTGCCTGCAATCATAAAGCCTGGATGCCGCCGACGATGCTACGAGACTGGCTCATGGCGCTGGATTGGCGCATGCGTGTTACTAACCGCAATATTGTGCTTATTGTTGACTCAGTAGCTGCCATGTGCGTGCAAAAAGCGTCGTTGTCGAATGTAAAGATGCATTTTGTGGAACGCAACCATGCTGGAGAGCTCTGTGTTCGAACTTTAGAAATGGGCGTTGTGGCTGCTGTCAAGCGCCGTTACCGCTACCAGCTCTTAGACTACGCGCTTGACCGGCGAGAGGAAGGTCAGCTTGATATCTACGATATTCCATTGCAGAAGGTTGTAGAGTGGGTGGTACAAGGTTGGCAGCAAATTCCGCGGTCACGCATCATTGCTAGCTTCGCGCACGTGGGCGTGATGTTTACTACCGAGACAGGAGCTGCAGTTGCCCAGACGACCGTATTGATGATAAACTTGATGCGCAGATTCAAGTGCTGTTGAAGCGTTTGAAGCTAGTCAGTCCCATGCGGCTGATTGAGGTCGTGGCACCTAGTTCTGAGAAGGTGTCCGACGAAAACCTGACAGATGCAGATTTTGCTGACTCGGCACTGCATGCCGCTCAAGGTACGGTTGGTATACAATTGAGCTCGGACGACCTGACCCGCCATACGATAGTGCAAGAGTCTACAAATTCAGATAGCTTGACACCAGTCGACATGCAGGCATTCTCATCCAGTCCAGCTGCACCCCGCCGCAACAGCAACAATGCCAGCAACGTACTGAGCAATTACCCTGGTTTTGAGCAGGGGTACCCTGGCTCACTGAATGATTCGTGGTTGTCACATGGTGCTATGACCGCCCCTGTTTGCCAGCCTGTGAGCGATTTGGAGGCGGTACAAAAGACAATTTGTTTGGCGACCGAAATGAATTGTGATCCAGTGGTGATGTTGGAGCTCAATCGATTTAAAACGGAGGTGGCCAATCGTGATCCAAGCACGTCAACTTCTGCAAAGCTGACTACGCCAACCACTCGCAATGCTGCCGTCTGTCAATTTCACTTCGGAGCTCCAACTCGGCGACTACTATAAGTTAGCGCCTTGGTGTATAGCATGTCAGATATTGCGTTACAAAAGGTGTAGCCATCTTAAGCGACTTTAATGAGCATGTCAAACTTGATCCATCGCTCAATTAATATGTCACACCGCAAAAGAGTTTTGCTTAAGGTGATCATTCTAAGTGATAGCGGGTGCGTTAACTTTCTTAATGTGGCTACAGAATTAAAGTCTCAAAAGTGAATTATACGTCACGAAATACTACATTTTATTTGTTATCATTTAGCGTGGGAAAAACGTCGCTTATGAACCAGTACTTGAACGAAAAGTTTAGTAGTCAATACAAGGCCACGATTGGTGCCGACTTTCTTACCAAGGAGATCATGCTGGACGACAAACTGGTGACGATGCAAATCTGGGACACGGCGGGCCAGGAGCGATTTCAGAGTCTAGGTGTCGCATTTTACCGTGGAGCTGATGCATGCGTACTGGTCTATGACATTGCCAACCTCAAGGTAAATAATAACAGTGAAGATGTAGTAGTGAGGCTGCAGAAAGCTGACAATTCTATCGTTTTATTGTAGTCTTTTGAGAAGTTGGACACGTGGCGAGACGAGTTCTTGGCACAGACAGAATCAAGAGACTCGGATGCCTTTCCGTTTATTGTACTG